TTTTAAGAGTGCAAATCCTCACATTCTCAGCTCTGCGCAAGACCAATGCCCCGCGCCACGAGTCAAGGTCGAGTCCGGCGAGCTCTTGGGGCTGTGCAGGGCTGCCAACCCGCAGACAGGGATTCCCCAGTACGCGGCCTTCCTCGGCGTGCCCTACGCCAAGCCGCCCCTCGGGGAGTTGAGGTTCAAGGTACGTACACCGTAGGTTATTCCTGTAAACGTAGCTGTACTCTTAAAACCTTGCGTACTGATGTGTCTGCAAGCTTGCAAAGAATCTGACTGGTTCGCAATAGGAAGAACACATCCATACTGTTAATCAGTAATTTGCAACTTGCGAACAAGTGCTCCGGAAGTTGTGAACAAACCTGCACTCCACTCCGAAAACCGTACGAACTATTGAAGTAAATTAGTTACATGATAAAGGACTCTGAGTAGGGTTCTAAAAGCGTGAAAAATATTTTGAAAAATTGCGAAAAAAACGGTTTTTTTCGGTTTCTTTTCATTGCTTTACTTTTCGAAAAATATGAAAAATATTAAAAAGTACGCAAATTGAAGCATTTGAAGTTTGCAGTTGACTAAACTCAAAAGGTAGGGAATTGCAACAATAAAATCACTATGAGAAATGCATGTAAGGAACGAGAATGAGCAATATTACCGTTCTCAATAAGCCTGAGATTGATCAGGAAAAAACAAATAGTCAAATTACAGCTTAACTTCCAAGTCTTCAGTACAATTCACGTAAAATTTAATGATTCACCGCTAGGGGCGCTATAACCGTGACTAATCGATTCCTGCCTACTCCCGCCATCGATTCTAACAATTTTCAAGCCAAAATATATTTTTCCGTTTTTTTCGGAAAAAAACTGTTTTTTTCATACGTTTTTTTCCTCAAAAATATTTTTCACGTTTTTTTAGAACCCTAACTCTGAGCAAACATTAGGTTACAAAAAAATGTATAAGTTCGTAATTTACGAATAAATTATTTCTTCGTACAAACGAAATAGTTTGTCCCCTATATATGCTCAAAACACTTCGTAGGTTCTAGGCGTGTGTTTGTGCAAACACATTGTTCGGAAAATTCGAACTATCAGTTGGTTTGTACAATCAAGCCAAACTCTTCGCAAGCTGCAAACCAAACAGTTTGTAAGGCGAACACATTCTTCGCAAGGTTCTGAGAGTGTTGGTTTTCCTCAGATGTTTAAATCACTGACCGCTTGACGCTTGGAGTCGGCCTCCAAGCAATTTTCAACAATGTGTGCCCAATGTGTGTGATACAATGCCTTTGTCGAGTATTCACATTGGATCGCGTTATCAGACGGTCGTTAGACTGTCCCAGAAAGAAGTCGATGTTCTGTTACTCATCCGCACACCCAGGGAAAGTGTTCCTTTTGTTAAAAAAAGACTAAATCCTTTCGCGGAGGTGTCTCGGACAGAATTTAGAGGTCGCGCATGGACAAAAAAGCGAAAAATGCCGTTTTTTTGTACATTCCGCCCGATTGCTCCCGCGCGGGTACATCCTCCCCTCCTCCCGCCACTCACTTGAACTCCTAGCATGTTTGGGCTCCTTTTCTGCACAAAACCGACGCAGCCCGAGCCCTTAAAAGTCCCCATAATCGACCAAAACTTAATTTTTTTTCTGAAAAAAATTCAAAAAAATGCAAATTGGGGTACAGGCGGTTCGAATTAGGGTCAGGTGTTGGTTTAGAACGAAAGAGAATCACAAAAAACGTAGGATGGCGATCATAGGAGTTTGCCATATGAGTATCGGTGCCGCCCGGGCGGCCGGAAATTTGCAAATTTCAGTAAAACTGCCGTTTTTTCGCCCTTTTCCGCCACTGTGACGCTTTTCACCGGCAAGCGTTAAAAGCATCGGCAAGCGTTAGAATGCTAAGGGAGGAGTGTCTTGATGTCGGAAAAACCCAATTGGGTGGCGTGGAACCGGTGGAAAGCGTTACAGTGGCAAAAAAGGGCGAAAAAACGGCAGTTTTACTGAAATGCGCTTATTTCCGGCCGCCCGGGCGGCACCGGTACCAGGGGGTGGCAACAGCCTAGTGCGCGCGTGAAGCTATGCGCGCCGCTCGGGCCGGCAAGGAGCGGCCGGGCGGCTGGGCCGCGCGGCCGAACCAAATTAAACAGAACTTTGTCAAAACTGCATCGAACTGAGTAAACGAGGTCATTTTTAGATTCTACGCAAAATTTCCTATCCGTGAGTGACAATGGAATGGACTTTTGGATATGTGAAACAGTTCTAAAATCAATTTGAAAACCAAATTTACGGCACCAGACAGCCGACTTGAAGTTTCCCTTTCACTAAAAAAGCTATTTCCGTTCGTTTTAGGTCCATACATACAGCGAGCCGATTGTTGGCCACTATTTTCCGGGTTGCGTGGTACACTTGGAACGCCAATACGACTTCTGTAGCAGAAATGCCGATCCAAAAACTAATTTCCATTTTTGGTCCAAAATTGTATTTTGCAACTTTGGAGGTTAAAAGCACAGTTTGAAATAGGTTTCTCAGCATTGTCAACCTCACTAAGCAACCCAGAATTCAATTCTCTATCGCCCTGCTGTGTTGGATTTGCAAAAGGAGGTCAAACTTCTAATTGAAACGAAAAGGCCCGAAGCGCTGCAAAACCGCCAAAACAGTTCAAGTATTTTGTGGAGCTTAATGTGTGAAAACTATTTCTCAGATTGTAAATCCAACCACACCACCTTGTAGGCCAGTCAATTCTACAGCTCCATTGTAAGTTTCATCGCAATCGGAGACCAAGAGAGAAGGCGGCAGAATATATTTTAAAGTTAGCTGCAAAAATCTGCCGCAGCGATTTCTCATACTTGCGCCCGCTCGACCAATCAACCAAACTGATGGGATTTACAATTATTATAGCTGTCTTTACTCTTGGTCTCCGATTGCGATGAAACTTACAATGGAGCTGTAGAATTGACTGGCCTACAAGGTGGTGTGGTTGGATTGACAATCTGAGAAATAGTTTTCACACATTAAGCTCCACAAAATACTTGAACTGTTTTGGCGGTTTTGCAGCGCTTCGGGCCTTTTCGTTTCAATTAGAAGTTTGACCTCCTTTTGCAAATCCAACACAGCAGGGCGATAGAGAATTGAATTCTGGGTTGCTTAGTGAGGTTGACAATGCTGAGAAACCTATTTCAAACTGTGCTTTTAACCTCCAAAGTTGCAAAATACAATTTTGGACCAAAAATGGAAATTAGTTTTTGGATCGGCATTTCTGCTACAGAAGTCGTATTGGCGTTCCAAGTGTACCACGCAACCCGGAAAATAGTGGCCAACAATCGGCTCGCTGTATGTATGGACCTAAAACGAACGGAAATAGCTTTTTTAGTGAAAGGGAAACTTCAAGTCGGCTGTCTGGTGCCGTAAATTTGGTTTTCAAATTGATTTTAGAACTGTTTCACATATCCAAAAGTCCATTCCATTGTCACTCACGGATAGGAAATTTTGCGTAGAATCTAAAAATGACCTCGTTTACTCAGTTCGATGCAGTTTTGACAAAGTTCTGTTTAATTTGGTTCGGCCGCGCGGCCCAGCCGCCCGGCCGCTCCTTGCCGGCCCGAGCGGCGCGCATAGCTTCACGCGCGCACTAGGCTGTTGCCACCCCCTGCCGGTACTCATATGGCAAACTCCTATGACCGCCATCCTACGTTTTTTGTGATTCTCTTTCGTTCTAAACCAACACCTGAGCCTAATTCGAACCGCCTGTACCCCAATTTGCATTTTTTTGAATTTTTTTCAGGAAAAAAATTTAGTTTTGGTCGATTATGCGGACTTTTAAGGGCTCGGGCTGCGTCGGTTTTGTGCAGAAAGGGAGCCCAAACATGCTAGGAGTTCAAGTGAGTGGCGGGAGGAGGGGAGGATGTACCCCCGCGGGAGCAATCGGGCGGAATGTACAAAAAAACGGCATTTTTCGCTTTTTTGTCCATGCGCGACCTCTAAATTCTGTCCGAGACACCTCCGCGAAAGAATATAGTCTTTTTTTTTTAACAAATGGAACACTTTCCCTGGGTGTGCGGATGAGTAACAGAACATCGACTTCTTTCTGGGACAGTCTAACGGTCGTCTGCAAAACTTGGCGAGTCACTTTTATTATTTTCAACGATTGTGACGTCAAACCCTCGTCACTTCAGCGTCAGATCGTATGTACGTTTATTCAGGCCTAACTAAGTAATAACAATGTACACTCTTAAAATCTTGCAAAGAAAAGTACTTTGCAGTCTGAAGTTCTCTCCGGCTTTGTATTACGAAAAACACCCTTACGAACTTCATTAATTTAAGAACTCGTATTATGGTAGATTTCTTCGCAAGACGTTTAGAGTGAATAACAGTGTCAATCATGTTATTTCACTGGTACTTCTAATGTGCCATTATTTTTTAGAGTGAAGTTTGTGAATGTAGTCAAATAATTTGGTGCAATCATGCAAACCATTCTAAGGCACAACGACATAACAAAAACTCAATTTGGAGATAAGTCGAATTATTCCTTTCTTCCGCTTCCTGGATCAAATGCAACAAGTCTCTTATGTTTTGGCCAGTTTGTGCCCAGATTATCACAGTTTTGGTGTGATAAAATGAAAACTACACTAATAAAGTGATAAATGCTCTAAAGCAATACAATATTTATTGCACTTAAAATGCAATCACTTTTTTCATGGCGCTACTAATGCAATGAAAATGTAATTGCTTTATAAATGATCCAGGAAGCGGAAGAAGGGGATAACTCAATTTTGGTCATTTTTCAGGAGAAACAAAAAACTGTTAGCAGGGAAAACTAAAACAAAACAAATGAATGTTGCAGATGTTAATAATTTCAAAAAGCATTAGTAAAATTTTGGAAAAAAAATCAGAAAATACGATTTCAAGAAATCCTAGGAGTCACGAAGTCAATATAGTTATTGTGTAGGAGTGTGGAGAAAGGAAAAAAGTTGTGTAAAAGGGATAGGGGGTGGTTTAGGTACGAATGGCTAGGGTATCAATGTGGTCGATGTGCCACCCGTCAAAATTTAAACTTGGCAACAAAAAGAAATCAAATCAAAATGCCGTAAAATTCGAAAAATTCCAATGCTAATGTATTCCACACTGGAACATCTTTGAAGTCTATCATTATTAAAAAGTTCGTGGGGGGAAAAGGGGGCAGTAAATTAACTTTCGCGGGTTGGCAACAATCTTCTCGGCAACTGCGCCCTTGCGAAAATAGCGAAGCCGAAAACACGAGTAGTCGCGCATTAAAACTGCCCCGCCATTGTTGCTGACGTTGAATTGTTTGGCTTGTTTCAAAAGGCGGTTCTCTAGTCATGTTTTCTTCAATTATGTGTAATAGTTCTCATTCACAACGTAATAACACCACTACGGTTGGTTTGACAAACTTTATAAACTCAGTAGGGATGGTTTCGAATCGCAGGTGAGTCTTGTTCGAGGAACATGAGCACTGAAAGTCGCGAGGTGGAGCGATGTGGTCATCGTGCTAACTGAATGAAAAGAAACATCAAACAAATGTTCCGCGCATGAGCAAAGACATTCCCATTAAAAATTTTCATCAGGCAGTGCCAATGAAAAGACTGTGTCCAAAAAACCCTCTTGTGCTATTGTTACATCTGTTCTATCACGGTCGCGGAAAGTTTTTTATTCGAACGTCCTTTTTCAAAGAAGCGACCGTTTTTGGGGTAACCTGTACACAAGCGAAAAGGAGCCATGCTATTGGTTGGGTTTGGCTCGGCTCCCCCCTCTTTCTTTCCTTTTCGTTGACGAGTCGAGCTTTGCTATGGAAACAGTGACTTTGACGGCAATTTTCTCAAAATTTATCGCTAAGATTTCAACCATATTCCAGAATTGAAATCACGTCTCAGAATTCTACCAGTCTGCAAAATCTCATCAAAATCGTACAGAGAGGTTTCGACTTGCATAAGGGGCCACGCGATCAAATCCCAGCGAGGCTGAATCCTGGGGGATACTATAAGGCTACTTCGTGCCTAAAAAGTAAGGTCACTCCGTAGAGGATTTCTGCGACTTATCACTTTCCGCTGAAATGGAAAACAGAGTCAGCTCACCTTATATTTCCTAAACCAAGAGGAATTTTGAGACAAGTCAAGTGGAACAATAGTCTGCATAAAGTGTATGTTACTCTGGTGTATTTTTTGGACTTAGCTCTTTTTTCCAAATTGAAATTTAAAATTAAGGGGGGGTTAAGTTGAGTTGATTCTTTTTACACTAGATCCATAAAAACCACAAGTTGAGTTATATCCTTTTGCCAATTTGTCAAACGGACTCATGTAGACTAAGGTTGAGTTATCTCCATTTTCCAATGAAATTTAGACTGTAAAAGGGGTTAAGTTGAGTTATACCCTTTTTCCATGTGGATTTTCTCCTAAACTGCTTGGAATTCAGTCAAATAATTTGGTGTAATGATGTAAACCATTCTAAGGCACAATAATAAAATAAAAACTCAATTTGGGGATAAGTCAAGTTATTCCCTTCTTCCGCTTCCTGGATCAAATTAGCTCATTATTACACTAGGAAAACCAGTGTTTCTTTAAGTTGGTATGCTTGCGCAGGTCAATATGCTTTGTTTGATCCTTTTCCGTCCCAACCAGGCGCCGCGTCCGGTGGAGCAGTGGCCGGGCGTCCGCGAGGCCGTGCGCTTCGACCAACGGTGCATCCAGGGCAGTGCGGAGGCACAGTCCGGCTCGGAGGACTGCCTGCACGCCAACGTGTACTCGCCCTGGCTGCAGAGGCCCCAGAATGAGGTTTGACTTTTGGCTTTTATTGGTCAGTCCTATTATTCGTTTCGGCCTTTGGTGACCATATGCCCTTCAGCCCAAAGTTCAAAGGCATCCTTTACCTACACCAAGGGGAAATAACTCCAGCCAAATTTGTACACCAAAACTCATCAAACATGTAAAATTGACTAAAATTCATTACAATTCATCGAAATTCGACAAAAATTCATCAAAATTTGACTGAAATTCATTAAAATTTGACTGCAATTCATCGACATCTGACCAAAATTCATCGAAATTCGACTGAAGCTCATCGAAATTCGACTGAACTTCATTAGGTTTGTACACCGAAATTCACAGGGATTTCCCCTTGACCTACACCTCACAACTTTGACTTTTATCTTAAAATGTACCTTGCGACGCGTCCCGGAAATGCACCATGATGCCACGTTTCACAAGGTAGCAGAGAAAAAGGTTCCCAATGCCATTGAAATAGCCACACTAAATTTCTGTTTAGATGCCCCATGTGAACTTCTATACGAAAAGGCCTGCAAATTTCCAGTTAACACAGAGCCTGAGCAAATTTTAACATCACTCTGAAAATAAGACTTCTGACGCGACTCTGTTTGAATATATTTTCAGACCCTGAGTTTCATGATCTTTTCACTGCAAATTGGATGGAAAGACTTCGTGCCAAAATATGGTGAGATATAAAAGTCTCGCCAAGTTTTGGTCAGACCTGAAAATCTCGCCAAAATTCGGTCAGACACAAAAGTCTCATCACAAAATGGCGAGACTTTTGTGTCTGACCGTTTTGTGGTGAGACTTTTTTGTCTGACCAAATTTTGGCGAGACTTTTAGGTCTGACCAAAACTTGGCGACACTTTTATGTCTCACCTCTGGAGTGGCGAGAAGTCTGACCTATGGATTTATAGTGTTCTCTTCAGGCAGTTTATTCTGCAACAAATTCTCTGCTAATTTCCAAGAAATTTTTTTTTATCAGTGTATGACGTTTGCCACCAGAGGGGCGAGCTGCTACCCGTCATCGTGCACGTGCACGGCGGCACCATGAAGGAGGGCTCGGGCAACATCATCCGGCCCGATTACTTCATCGCCAAAGACCTCGTCGTGGTCACCTTCAACTACCGCCTTGCCCAGATGGGCTTCTTCAGCCTGGACAACGACCTGGCCCCAGGCAACGCCGGCCTCAAGGACATCGTGGCGGCGCTGCGATGGGTCAACACGAACATCAAGGTGGGAAATATTCGTCCAATTCACTTAAAAAAAGTGCCCTGGTTTCATTGAAAATGTGTTTCTACCTTAAGGAGTTTATTTGCAGAACACAAACTGGAAAAAAAGAAGTCGTAAAACGTGTACTAGAGCAATGTAGACTCAACGCAGACCTTTTAATTCCACCTCGTTCGGGAGAACTAAGTGAACACGTTTCTACAATCCATCCTAACATATTGATTTAAAACACAGAAACCGTGCACACAGTTGAATCACACACTTTTGAAAATTCTCACAATTATTACTCGTGCGTTTTTGGACAACTATCCATTTGCTTCATTCTTTTCTTGAGTTCAAGTGTTCTCTGCGAACAGCTTCGTTTCTCCGCTACATGGATTAATTGTGTGGCATTCGCACATAACGGCGTATTTACCGTGGGATTCCCTATGAAGATACGTTGTTCTGCCAGATGATGATTTACTATTTAGCCCAAGATTCCATCAACGTTTGTCGGGTTGCGTGTCTAATGAGGGGTTTCGTTTCCTCCAGAAGGCGGCGGAGCCCCCTAGAACGTAGTTAAATAGTCGCCATCTGGTTTCGCCAAATCCTCCTCCTAAACCTGCCCCTGGCTCCTCCCTTGAAAAAAGTGGCTTCAGCGGGCATTTCTTTCCTCAAGGCGTTCGGCGGCGACCCGGACAAGGTGACCATCCAGGGCTGCTCGTCCGCCGCCGCGGTGGTGCACTGGCTGACGCTGCTGCCGGACACCGAGGGCCTGTTCCGCAGCGCCATCATCAAGAGCGGCAGCGCCATGCTGAGCTGGGCCTTCGCGGACAACTCGCACCTCGACCTGAGCGGCATCGCCATGGACTTCTACAGGCAGGGCACGCAACCTCAACATTTGATCCAGGAAGCGGAAGAAGGGGATAAGTCGAGTTGAAACCGTGCACCTTGCAAGGCCTTACCCTTGCAGGTGGGAGAACATTTTCGGGAATGTCATCTAAAAATAGATGCAAGAGGATGGGACTTGTCTCACCACACTTATTTTTGGACCAAATTTCCGCTTATTGGCGAGCGATAGCGAGCCCTTGCCGTGTTTGGGCGCTCCAAAAAGTGACTGGTCGTGCGTCTGTCTGTCTGTCTGTCTGTAGCGTACACGCTCACGTTTCTCAGCAACTACAACACTAATAGTTACCAAATTTTGCACCGAACATCCCCTAAAGGTCCCACAGGGGGAGTTTATCTTATATTCACGATTACTACCGTTTGAAATATTCAAAACATCTTTTTGAATTAGGTTCTTAGCGTGGTTAGGTTGGCAGCATATATAGCAATTTTTCATACTTGCGGCCGCGGCTCTCAAATACGGGACTGGCAAAACATTGGCAAATAAAACAAAATAGAGAGGAGAAGGGCTTAGAAGTGAGTTCGGTCTTAGTTTTTCGATATTCTAGAATGATTGAAACCCCTCTGGAGTGTCAACACAGTGAAATACGGAAAATGAAAGTGACAATTATTACGCGTTTCGTCCGTCCGTCCGTCCGCCCCCTCCCCTCCCCCGCCACAGGGGAAATGTTTTAGTCAGTGGAGTGTGTTTGATCGTTTGATAATTGCAAGAATGATTTGGTCTTTTTAACCTTTGTGAGTGTATTTCCATTTTTATTCTCAGACATTATACTTTTTAGTTGTTTGCTTTGCTCAATAACAGTTAGAAAATAGATCAATGCAATCTAAAAGTACAAACCAGACACAAATCTTGCCAAAATAAATAGTCTTTGCTGACTCTTGGCACTGACTCTGGGGAAAGGCTTCATATCAATGCTGTAAGTTTACTATAGTACTAACCTTAAAGATAACTATATAGTGAGTGAGAGTAGCGCATACATGGTTTGACTTTGACATCTGATTCAATGAGACGATTCAGTGACTTGGTCATATGATTTCATGAGACGATTCTTTTAAATTCATCATACATTGTCTGCGACAACTGGTAATTTGTGTCAGTCATGGTTTGAGTTGGCTGTCTTTTTAATTTATTCAGAATGTTAGGTAAATACTTATGCTATACTGTTTTAAAGATTAAATATCACATCATGACTATCTTTATAAATAAGATTAACTTGCGTTTAGCAATAAGTGGGCTCGACATTGAATTAAATGGAACGATTCATTGGATCTCACAGAAGGTCTTCTCCGTAAAGTAGTTGCAATCAGCCTGCCTGTAAATGTGTCTCTTTTTAATTAATTGAGATAAATCAATGTAGTTTTATCCACTAGTTTAAAACTAGGGGTACGCGCCGTTTTGTTTGGGCGCGTAGTAGGCGAGCGATGCGTCTGTATTCTTGTAGAAGATGGTGAAGAATATATGCAAAGTAAGGCCAATACAGGGTCAATGTGAAACTCAATTTTAAAAGTTTGGTCAGAAATTGGTAAATTTTGGGGAAAGTAAAGGTCTGGGATGAAATTGGAAGTCATTTTCGTGATCAGCACACCAAAAACTGCAGGAAACTATGTAAAACTCGATGTAAAAATTTTGGTCCGAAATTGGTAAATATTTGGAAAAGTAAAGGTCTGAGATGAAAATGGAAGTCATTTTCGTGATCAGCGCACCAAAAACTGCAGGAAACTATGTAAAACTCGATGTAAAAATTTTGGTCCGAAATTGGTAAATATTTGGAAAAGTAAAGGTCTGAGATGAAATTGGAAGTCATTTTCGTGATCAGCACACCAAAAACTGCAGGAAACTATATAAAGCTCGATGTAAAAATTTTGGTCCGAAATTGGTAAATATTTGGAAAAGTAAAGGTCTGAGATGAAATTGGAAGTCATTTTCGTGATCAGCACACCAAAAACTGCAGGAAACTATGTAAAACTCGATGTAAAAATTTTGGTCCAAAATTGGTAAATTTTTGGGAAAAGTAAAGGTCTGGGATGACATTGGAAGTCATTTTTTGATCAGCACACCAAATACTGCAGAAAGCAATGAAACACCGGGGAAAATTTTGGTCGCAAATCATGTAATTCTAGTTGAAAGTATGGGTCTTCAGTTGTTAGGTTTCTTAAGAGCGTTTCCTGTTCATAGTGTCATGCCACGAACCCTGACCCTGTTACTCAGTCGAGTAACATTTAACAGCCAGCATTGAATTGCTTAAGGGGGCTCATACATGTTAAAAGCACTTTTCTAAAAAAAAATTTTGATGTAGACGGACTAAGATTTTACAATTTCTGTGTTAAAATCCTTTTAGAAATTTGAGTAAGCTTCATTTTGGCTTAAGGGAAAGTGACTTTGGACTTTTTTTAGAGAATTAGTCGAAACGTTTAAAATTTTGCTTCTCGTAAGTTTTTGTTCGCATACTTGCTCAGATCTGTGGGGAAAAAATCAGGGAGACTCATCCCCAGTAGTGTCATAGAATTGACTACAATGGGCTTTATATCTGCAATATTTTTCAAGAAAAAAAAAAAAAAAATTTTTTGTTCAAAATTTGTTTAAAAAATTTTTTAAAAAAATTGTTTTTTTTTTTTTTCTCGAAAACTATTGCAGATATAAAGCCCATTGTAGTCAATTCTATGACACTACTGGGGATGAGTCCCCCTGTTTTTTTCCCCCAAAGATCTGAGCAAGTATGCGAACAAAATCTTACGAGAAGCAAAATTTTAAACGTTTCGACTAAATCTCAAAAAAATGTCCAAAGTCACTTTCCCTTGAGCCAAAATGAAGCTTACTCAATTATCTAAAAGGATTTTAACACAGAAATTGTAAAATCTTCATCCGTCTACATCAAAATTTTTTTTTAGAAAAGTGCTTTTAACATGTATGAGCCCCCTTAATACGATTCACAAATACTTCAATTACCATTCGATATCTCCTTGTTACTGAACTTATGAATACGCAATGTTATTAGTAATACCTAAATAGCCTTTCTCCCTTTTAGTTTAAACTAGTGGATTTAACTATATTGATTTATCTGCATTAATTAAAAAGAGACATATTTACAGGCAGGCTGATTTCAACTACTTTACGGAGAAGACCTTCTGTCAGATCCAATGAATCGTGTCATAGAATCCAATGTCGAGGCCACTTATTGCTAAATGCAAGTTTATCTTATTGATAATGATAGTCATGGTGTGTTATTGGCTGAGCGATAGCGAAGCCTGTTACTCCAGTGCGGTTGAAAAGTTTTGTCTGTCTGTCTGTCTGTGTGTGTGTCTGTGTGTGTGTGTGTGTGTGTGTGTACACTACTCCTCCTGAACGGCTCGGCCGATCTGGCTGAGATTTCGCAGGGTTATTAGGTATGTTCTTGGCTCGGCACACGCGAAATTTCACCATCCTAGCTCAACTGGTTCAGTTTTTATAGCCGAAAAACACCTAAAAAACGGCGAAAAATCGATTTTTTTTCGGTAGATTCCCGTCGGTGAAGGGGGTCAGGGGCGGAGCCCCCTAGCCACGACAAGTTGAAAAGTTACAAGGGTCAAGATCGTGTAATTTGTAGATGAAGCACCTCTATGTAGAATGGAGGGGGTCTTGGGAGCGGAGCCCCCCTGCATGCAACAGTTCAGAAGTAACTGATGATGGAGAAGCATTGTCTGCCGAAGGCAGCCTAGCGCCGCAGGCCAAGGTAGGTACGCCAGGCGCGGATTGGAGAAACAGGCAGCGACACATCGCGAAGCCTGTTACGACAAGACGCGGTCTGGCGTAAACCTACCTTGTTTAATCTTTGAAAAAGTTTAGCAAAAGTATTTACCTAACATTCTGAGTAAATTAAAAAAAAAAATACGATTTCAAGAAATCCTAGGAGTCACGAAGTCAATTTGATTATTGTGTAAGAGTGTGGAGAAAGAAAAGAAGTGGTGTTGTGAAGTTGTGGCTCAGGGGACTACCAATGGCAGTGGTACCAATGTGGTCGATGTGCCATCCGTCGAAATTTAAACTTGACAATAAATAGAAATCAAAATGCTGGTAAATTCAAAAAAATTTCCCAAAGCTAATGTATTCCGCAGTGTTCTGACAATGGAACATCTTTGAAGTCCATCATGATTCATGAACATGTTCTTAGCAGAAAGAAGTCAGTAAATTAATTTTCTCGGGTTGGCAACTATTTTCTCGGCGTCTGCGCCCTTGCGAAAATCGCGAAGCTGAAAGCGCCAGCAGTCGCGCATTAAAACTGCCCCTCCATTGTTGTGGACGTTGAATTGTTTGGCTTGTTTCAAAAGGCTATGGTTCTCTAGTCATGTTTTCTTCAATTCTGTGCAATAATTCTCCCTTACAACGTATCAACACCACGACGGTTGGTTGGACAAACTTCATAAACTCGGGAGGGATGGTTTCGAAACGCGGGTGAGTCTTGTTCGAGGAACATGAGCACTGCAAGTCGCGAGGTGGAGCGAAGTGGTCCTAGTGCTAACTAAATCACAACAACAACACTGCGCATGTCCAAAAACACTCCAATCAAGAAGTATTATTGGATAGTTCTACCCGAAAAACTGCGTTCGAACCGACACCAATTCTATTGTTGCATCTTGTCTACCTGCAGTCAAAGAAATTTTTCATTTCGAACGTGCTATTTCAGCTTTTGGAGTAAGCTGTACAGACCCAAAAAGAAGCTCGGCTATTGGTCCGCCCCGGCCCGGCTCCTCCCTCTCCCTTACTTTTTCCTTGACGAGTCGAGCATTGCCATAGAAACAGTGATTTTGTCAGCAATTTTCTCAAAATTTATCGCTAGAATTTCAACAATATTTCAGAATTGAAGTCGCATCTCAAAATTCTACCTGCTTGCAAAATTTCATCAAAATCGTACAGAAACGTTTCGACTTGCATAAGGGGCCATGCGATCAAATCCCAGCGAGGCTGAATCCTCGGGGATACTATAAGGCTACTTCGTGCCTAAAAAGCAAACTCAAACCATGACCAACACAAATTACCAGTTGTCGCAGACAATGTATGATTAAGTTAAAAGAATCGTCTCATGAAATCATATGACCAAGTCAGTGAATCGTCTCATTGAATCTGATGTCAATGTCAAACCTTGAATGCGCTACACTCACTCATCATATGGTTTTCTTTAAGGTTAGTACTATAGTAAACTCACAGCATTGCAATGAAGCCTTTTCCCAGAATCAGTGCCAAGAGTCAGCAAAGACTATTTACTTTGGCAAGATTAGCATCTGGTTTGTACTCATAGAATGTATTAATATATTTTCTAACTGTTATTGAGCAAAGCAAACAACTGAAAAATATAGTGTCTGAGAATATAAATGGAAATACACTCACAAAGGTTAAAAAGACCAAATCATTCTTGCAATTATCAAACACACTCCACTGACTAAAACATTTCCCCTGCAGTGGGGGAGGGGAGAGGGTGGACGGACGGACGAAACGCGTAATAATTGTCACTTTCATTTTCCGTATTTCACTGAGTTGACTCTCCGGAGGGGTTTCAATCATTCTAAAATATCGAAAAACTATGACCGTACTCACTTCTAAGCCCTTCTGCTCTTTAGTTTGTTTTATTTGCCAATGTTTTGACAGGTCCCGTATTTAAGAGTCGCGGCCGCAAGTATGAAAAATTGCTACGAGCTGCCAAGCTCTGCCAACCTAACCACGCTAAGAACCTAATTCAAAAAGATGTTTTGAATATTTCAAACAATAGTAATCGTGAATATAAGATAAACTCCCCCTGGGGGAGATTTAGGAGCCTTCCGGTGCGAAATTTTGAAACTATTTGTGCGGTAGTAGCTGAGAAACGTGAGTGAGTTACGGACAGACAGACAGACAGACGCACGACCAGTCACTTTTTGGTACCCCCAAACACGGCATGGGCTCGCTATCGCTCGCCAACAAGGTAGGTTTACGCCAGACCGCGTCTTGTCGTAACAGGCTTCGCGATGTCTCGCTGCCTGTTCCTCCAATCCGCGCCTGGCGTACCTACCTTGGCCTGCGGCGCTAGCCTGCCTTCGGCAGGCAATGGCTTGTCCATCGTCGGTTACTTCTATCTTGATGCATGCTGGGGGGCCCTTCATTCTAGATCCCTTGTAACTTTTTCGCTTGTCGGGGCTGGGGAGCCCCCCCAGACCCCCCTTCTCCAAGTCATCTGCCTGCAAAAAACTCGATTTTTCGCCGTTTTTTAGGTGTTTTTCGGCTATAAAAACTGAACCAGTTGAGCTAGGACAGTGAAATTTCGCGTGTGCCGAGCCAAGGACATGCCCGAAAAGTGTGGAAAATCTCACCGAGATCGGCCGAGCCGTTCAGGAGGAGTAGTGCGGACACACACACAGACAGACGGACAGACAGACGGACAGACAGTCAGGAAAAACTTTTCAACCCCAATGGAGTAACAGGCTTCGCTATCGCTCAGCCAATTAAAGGGAGATAAAAGGCTTTTTAGGTATTACTTATGACATTGTGTATTCATAAGTTCAATAACAAGGAGATATCGAATGGTAATTGAAGCATTTTTGAATTTACCGACTATAACTGTCAGGGTTATTTGCCAATGAACAGGCCATTAGAAATTGGGAAAATGACTTCCAATTTCATCCCAAACCATTATTTTAAAATTTACCAATTTCTGAAAAATTTTGAAGTGGTTCTCAATTTTGCATTTTGGGTGTGCTAAAGAAAATGATTCCAACACCCGACCTTTACTTTTCCAAAACCATTTCGGCCAAAATTTTAGGTTTAAACAAGACCGCGTTTTTGGTGGCTTCCAAAAGGGTTCCCGTCTTTTCCTAATCCGTTTTCCAAACCTTTTCCTGTACCTTTTCCGAAGGCTTTCCAAGTCTTTTTCCCAAATCTGAATTTCCTAGTTTTCCTAAATTTCCTTTGTCGGCTGACCAAGACCCTTTAAGCATCTCGGGAAACCTTTGCTTTTTTTGGGTTTTGGCCCTTAAACTGCCTTAGTTTACCAGTGAACCTTCCAAGAATGCCCGAATTTTTGAAAATTTTTTACCATCCCTAGAGGGTTCCCCAACAAAACGGCAAGAGACAAATGGCTTCCCCGGGTTTTGCTCTTCTTCCCTAAAGGGGGGATAAAAGGTTTGGGGTTTCTAGACTTGGGGGGAAAAATTCCCTTTCAATACCGAAGTTCAATGTAGACTTGAAATGAGAATTCAATGCTGCCTGAAGGACCCGGGGGTTTTTGTGCAGGTTTTTTTAACGGAAAAACAATAAAAAGGAAAAAAACTTAAAAACCAAAATGACTAAAAATTTCATCCAGATTTTCCAAAAAAAAAAAAACCCTTTGACCCAAATTAAAGGGCGTTTTCCTGTTTCCTTTTTTTGGAAAAAAAGCCTTAAACACGATTAGGAAAATTTCTTTGGAAATTTTTTAGGAAAAATAAAATTAAAAAACATTTTTGGGGGGGGGGAACCGAAAATGATTTCCCAAATTTCATCTCAGACCTTTACTTTTCCAAATATTTACCAATTTTGGACCAAAATTTTTGAGTCCAGTTTTACATAGTTTCCTGCATTTTTTGGGTGTGCTGATCACAAAAATGACTTCCAATTTCATCTCAGACCTTTATTTTTCCCAAATATTTACCAATTTTGGCCCAAAAATTTTTGAGTCGAGTTTTACATAGTTTCCTGCATTTTTTGGTGTGCTGATCACAAAAATGATTTCCCAAATTTTCATCCCAGATCTTTATTTTTCCCCAAAAATTTCCCAAATTTGTGACCAAAATTTCAAAGTTGAGTTTCCCATTGTTTCCTGCAGTTTTCAGTAAGGTAACCACGAGAATGACATGAATTCCGGTCCTTTCGTGACGGAAGACACTGTATTGGCCTTATTGTGCACATATTCTTCGCCATCTCCTATAAGAATGTGTTCAGACGCATCGCTCGCCTACTACGCGCCCAAACTAAACGGCGCGTACCCCTAGTGTTTACTTAGTAGACTGATAAGAGGTCACTGAATCAGCTCGACTTAACCCCTTCTTCCGCTTCCTGGATCATTTATCGACCCTTTAGCCGCCTACACTAAGAATGAAAAAGTCCGCACTCTCGGACTGCTATTGACTTTTTGTCCTTTGTTAAAGACACGGTAGAAACGGTACCTGGTTTTCCCAGGAGCCCTATGTCGAAGACATAGGCGATTTCTAGGGTGTTCCTGGCAAAACCAGGAACCGCTTTTACCGTGGAGTATTTTACACAGCAATAAAAAGTATTATTTCCCCAATATCTATGTAAGATTTTGTTCGTTATATTGACTTAAAGTCAATTTGCTATTGACAAAGAGTCCATGCGTAATTGACTTAAAAAATAGTCAATAATTGATGACAATTTAGTCTTTATAGTGAACAGTATTGTACATGGTTACAAAGGAAATGCTTCATATTATTGCTGCTTAAAAAACTACGTAAGCAAGGACAAAAAGTCAATAATGGAGAGAAAAAAGTCAATACGATTCTGCGAGTGTGGTGCGTCTTGAATATCCTCACTCAAATATGCCGGAGGAACGTTTCCCCAACAAAATTAACCTGAAGATGGTTGATACGTACAACTTTACCTCCCAAATTTGGCTGAGTCAATCAGATAGTGTTATCACCCAAATTTGGGCGGTATAGAACATCTCATACCCAAAATGTTAGTCGTGACTATGACTCTCTTATTCTCGCAAACGGTTCGAGATGGAAAGCAAAATCTGCCCGCAGAGCAACTGAAAATTGAATTTTGAATCCAAAATGTTCTACGCATACACTGCAAATGAAAGAGGCGTGAACATAAATTAAATTTTGAGTGCGGCAATTCTTAACCATCGAAATTTGAAAGTCATCATAAGGTTTCCTCACCCAAATTTGGGTGATTATGCCTCGACCAAAATATGGTATAGTCAGGACTCTTTCCTTTCTTAGTAAATCTATTTTCAAAATCTCCAACCGTTTCCAAAATAAAAGTCCAAAAATTCGCGGAAAAATGTTAAGTTTGCGCGCCGTGCCCACAGGAAGTACTTCCCCAACTACAACGACACCCAGCTGCTGCACGAACGGTCCACCCTGCAGCTGGAGCTTGGCTTCACGTTCGCCGAGGAAGCGCGCACCAAGAACACCCCCGACACCTTCCAGGTATAGTTACAACTATTTATTTTACTCTGTAGTTGAGCTTTTGGTTACCATTTCTTTTGTTTACGCATGCATTTGTTTCCACAAACGAGCGGGTGTTGGTCTGATGTGGCAATAATTATGAGTTCTTTCGTTCTGCACATTATATAAATCTGTTCTTCATAATTCCTAAGTAGTTCTTTAAGAAACGAAAAGTACGTATTGTGATTGAACACATTATTTGCTTAAAGTATACTGACAAAATTGAGCAACAAGTCAATAACGTGCTGAGAGTAGAAAAAAGTACAGAAATTACACGGAACATGTCTGGTCAATTTTTTACCTGGACCGTCCGTACCTTGCCAACCACGGAGGTTCTGTACATGTTTTCTGTACCCGTTTACATGAGATCCTTATGGGGACCACAGAGAACCAGTACAGAAGGTCCGTACCTTTTCCGTACCCGTCTGTACCCCATTTTTCCGTACATTTTCCGTGCCAAACCACGGAATTTTTTGCAGTGGTGTATTCTATTCTCTTCCATTGTATTGTGTTATCTTCTCTATTCTATGCCACTCTATTCTACTCAGGTGCCCACAATCGCCCTGGAGAGCAGGCCCGACGGCGGCGAGGAGCCGAAGCTCATCCTCAAGGACGCGGAGGCCTACATCCTGGAGCCCGCGCGCTCCAGGGTGCCCATCATCATGGGCATGACGAGCTGCGAGTTTGACCCGTACGGCATCATGTACTACAGTAAGCTGGCCCTTCTCAGATAAAATTTCCTACGACACATTCTGCTTCGGCTCCTAGTGGTAATTTTACATTTATCCTTTATTTTCTCTGCAATCTGGAATTCCAATGTCTACGATCCCGATGACGCCAAGGAACGCACATTTGGAATTTTACAATGAATTTTGAACACTGAAGGGTGCTACCTTTGCTCTTAAGTCATCATTCTAAGATTTGAAGATTCAGAGCATCCAGGGGAAATAACTTCAGCCAAAGTTATACACCAAACTTCATCAAACATGTGAAATTCACTAAAATTCCTTGAAATTCATCAAAATTCCTTGAAATTCTTCTCAAAGTTCAGTAATTTTTGCCTGAAATTTATTGGCTGAGCGATAGCGAAGCCCTTGCCGTGTTTGGGCGCTCCGAAAAGTGACTGGTCGTGCGTCTGTCTGTCTGTCTGTCTGTATGTAATCACTCACGTTTCTCAGCAACTACTGAACGAATAGTATCCAAATTTCACACCTGATGTCTCCTAAACATCCTACAGGGGGAGTTTATCTTAGATTAACAATTATCATCGTTTGAAATATTCAAAACATCATTTTGAACTAGGTAATTGGCGTGTTTAGGTTGGTAGCAGCGTGTGGCAGACCAATTTCTCATACCGGCTGCCGCGCTTGCAAGCCGTCTGCAAGACGGGACGGCACTTATGCAAATAAACAAACTAAAGAGCAAAGGGGTTCTCAAATAGGTACTGAGATAGTTTTTTAACATTCTAGAATGATTGAAACCCTTCCGGGGTGTCAACAGAGGAAAATATAGAAACTAAATGTGAGAAGGGTTTTACGTGTTTCGTTCCCCTCTTCCCCCTCCCCGTCACAGGAGAACAGGTCAGTGCAGTGTAGTTGTGGATTGAAAATAGAATGTTTTCTTTGCCTTTGTGTGCATCTACTGATTTTATTCTCTCTGATACTATCCTAATTTTTAAATTTCATAGTAAATAAAATCAGGTAAATGCATGAATAACTTCTGTTGAAATTAGAAGACATTTTAATTGTCTTGGTTTGTCTCGGGGAAATGACACTCTATTGCAATGCTGCAAGCTAACATAAATATTCTAGTACTTACATCTATTGTTTAAAAGAATCCATAAATAGATGTATTTTGTGCAATAAATAATCCATATATTTAGTGCTAACAGATTTTGAACTGATATTGGGTTCAATGAGACGATTCGGGTTTTTGAGCGGTGGGTGACTTGGTAATTGCTTTTAATGGGACGATTCCTTAAACTTCACCAAAGCTTGTGTCCGACAACTGGAACCAAGTATTGGTAATGATTTAAAAGCTGGCTTTCTAATGTAAGCCCAATGTTAATGCTACACTGTATTCTTTTACTCTAAAGATAAAATATCACGAGGCATGAATAAGGTAAATTAAGTTGGCGTATTGAGCAACAAGTGGCCTCTGCATTTGACTTCATGAGACGATTCACTGAATTTTACAAAACTTGTTCTCCGTCAAATGCTTCAGATCAGCCTGCCCTAAACTGAGTCACTTAAAAAACTATGATTACATATTCCATTCTTATTGTTTTTTTCACTGGTTTTAAATGAAAGAATGACAAAAGGCTTCTCAAATATAACTAATAAATTTGTGAATTCATTAGTTTGAAGAAAAAGATGTATCGAATAGTGAGTCAAGCAGACGAGTAGCTAATTAAGCGATTCAATGCTGGCAATGGAATGTTACTCGACTGAAGGAATCGCATTGGTGTGGCATTAGGGTATTGGTGACGACAAAGGGTGATCCATGAAGACCAACCAAGACCCATTCTTTACCGATTATTGATCAATTTGATATCGATATTTTTCAATCGAATCTCATATTGATTCTTGGAGTTTTTGGGGTGCTGATTATGAAAACCCCTTCCATTTCTACTCCAGACTTATATTTTCATCTCAAATTAGGTCATTTCGGACCAAAATTTTTAGGTCGAGTTTTATATTGTTTCCTGCAGTGTTTGATGAGCTGAACTCAAAAATAACTTCCAAATTTTTCCCAGACTCACGCTTTACCTAATTTTGACCAAATTTGGACCAAAATTTTTTAATTGAGTTTGATGTTGATCCCAACAGTTTTTTGTGTGCTGATAACGAAAATCACCTCCATTTCGACTCCAGACTTATATTTTTATCCCAAATTAGGTCATTTTTGGGCCAAAATTTTCAAATAAAGTTTTTTATTGTTTCCTGAGTTTTTTGGGGCGCTGAACTCAAAAATGACTTCCAAATTTTTCCCCGACTCACGCATTACCGAATTTGGACCAATTTTTGGGCCAAAATTTTGGAATCGAGTTTGACGTTGATCCCAACAGTTTTTTTGTGCTGATAACAAAAATCACTCCCCTTTATACCCCAGACCTACATTTCACTCAATATGAGCCCACAAGCTGCAGTCCGAAGTGCACAAATTCGCATCGCTCAGCCACACTACGCGCCCACACAAAACGGCGCGTACCCCTAGTTAAAAAATTTACCTGAAATTTAATTTTTTTTTACTCTGAAATTCTCGGAAAAATTTACTTTGATTACCCCCGGGTTTTAAAAGCGGCCTTGTTGTTTTGTGCTGGCAAACTGCCCCCCCATCGAGAGGCCCCCCCCTGGAGAGGGAAAGGTCCCGGCCCAGCGTCATTTCCCCCCCGACTTCGCCAAGAAGGCCCCCGGCCCCGACCCCGCCGCCTACTCGCACACCTTCAGGGGCGGCCCACGACTTTAGGCAGCAGCTGTTCAACATGTCGGCGTACGACAACCCAAATGCAAGCTCATCTGTCGAGGCAGATGGTACGTTGGTACACGTAAATATCTTACGGTTAAAGGCTACACTAAAATATGAAGGAAGCGGAAGAAGGGGATAACTCAGTTTTGGCCATTTTTCAGGAGAAACAAAAAAATGTTAGCAGGGAAAAGTAAAACAAAACAAACGAATGTTGCCAATGTTAATAATTTCAAAAAGCATTAGTAAAATTTTTGGGAAAAAAAACCAAAAATGTTTAAAGGGCGCTCCCTAGAGCATTTTGCGACTTGTCACTTTCCGTTGAAATGGAAAACAGAGTCAGCTCACCCTTTTATTTCCTAAACAAAGAGGAAAATTGGGGGACAAATCAAAAAAATGGAACAATCGGGGGGGAAAAAACTTGGGAAAATTTTGTACACCGTTATTTCAAATTCAAATTATTTCATTTTTCAAACTTATTTCAAGTTATTTCACTTATTTAAAATTATTTACTTATTTCAAACTTATTTCACTTTTTCAAAAAACTATTTCAAAATTATTTTACTTATTTCAAATTTCAAACCCATTTCAAAAATTATTTCAAACTATTTCACACTTATTTCAGCTTAAATTTTTACTTATTTCAACTTATTTCACACTTATTTTCCTTTTTTATTTGATTTCCCTCATTGCACACTAAATTTTAACATAATTCAGCCGATTTCACACTTATTT